TTTTTTTTTGTTTCTTCATTGCTCCAAGACCAAACAAGCAATATCTTTGTCTTCAAGTCTATCTGTCATTCTTGAGGTGGAAATTGTTAGCTACTGTGCAACTATTGCGCGTAAAATTGGCATGGAAAGTTAAGAGCATAGATTCCCCAGTCTCATTTTATCTTTGGGTTTTTTTCTGGGGATGGGACCAGGAATCAAATTCAGGACCTTGTGCTTGCCTGGAAGGTACTGTGACACTAAGTTATGTCCCTGGCCCCTTATTTTATTTTTGGAACCACAATATGGAGAAAGGTTAAGAAGGTGCCTTTTCAACAAGCTCTTTGTGTCATTCAAATCAAGGTAATTGAAAGACCACTCTGAAAACACTGGTTTAGATGGATGGGGGGGTGGGCTACAAAAGTGGTTTTAAAACTTTTTATATAGTACTGGGCATGAAGCTCAGAGTCTTCCACTTTGATACTGGGCCCCACCTCCAGCCCTTTGAAGCTTCTTTTAAGGAACTTGGTAGATACATATTTATGTTTGTTTATTTGTATTCGTCTTTTTTTATGAGACAAGGTCTCACTGAACTCAGGCAGGCCTTGAGTGCACTGTATAGCCCAGGCTAGTCTCAAACTTGAAATGATCTTCCTTTCTCAGTCTCCCCAGAGTGCTGTGATTACAAGTGGGTGCCACCACATACGACCACATATTCATGTTCTGTGATTTGTTTTTTGTTTTGATAATTTTTTCCCCCCTGAACCAGGGATTGAACTCAGGCCCTGGCACTTGCCAGGCAAGCGCTTATTCTACTGAGCTATCTCCCTGGCCCCTTTTGTTTTGTTTTGTTTGGAGACAAAGTCTTGGACATAATAGTGTAGGCTGGCCTTGAACTCATGGCAATCCTTTCTCAGCCTCCCCAGTGCTAGGATTACAAGGCATGTACTACCACACTTTATTGTATTTATGTTTTGATTTGGTGTCAGAATTGTGTTTTCATTTCCTTCCCTGAGTGGTAATTTTATTTTCATTTTTATTTTTTGGTACCAGGGATTGAACTCAGGATACTTACACCACTGAGCTATCTCCCCAGCCCATGAGTGGTAAATTTTGAGAAGCCATGGCTCGGCTAATGAGACCTATAGAAGAAATGATAAAACATATTGCTTATTCTTTACATTTGCTCTTTCTGTGCTATATCCACAGGGCATGTTTTACTTAGGAAGGCAGTTTGTTGCTGCGGAACTTGCGAAGATTATACTTTGTCTTAACTCTGAAAGCATTCAGTGATGACTAAATTTCTTTTTATTGGAAGCATTGGCTATTGAAGGGAGTTACCTTTTGTTTGAGATTAGAAATCCTTGTTCAAATGTCATTACATTACTTATCTAAGAGACTACATGACATTTGAAACTAGAAGATGTTTATTTATTTATTTTTTTGTGGTACCAGGGCTCGAACTCAGGACCTTGCACTTGCTAGGCAAACATTTATTCTACTGAGCTATTTCCCCAGCCACCTTTTTTTTTTTTTTTTTTTTTTTTACATCTTATTTATTTATTTATTTTTGTGTGTGTGGCCAGCTCAGCCCACCAGGGGGCGGGGCTGGCTGGCATGTGGTGCTGGGGGATTGAACCGCGGTCCCTGTGCTTTGCTAAGCTTGTTCTAAGTAGGTGCTTTAGACCCCTGAGCCATCTCACCAGCCCCCCCAGTTTTTTTTTTAAAGTTCTTGTGGCTCAGGTTGTATATGTTCTGTGACACATGTCCCTAGAAGAGTGTGGTTCTCAAATGGGTTACTATCCCAGAGTAATTGCATGAGAAAAATTAGGGATAAAGCTAGGCATGTGTATGTGTAAGAAAACTTTCAAATGCTTTGGATAGGGTGTTATGTCTCACAAAACATTTAAAAGTATTAAATAAAAGGTTAAAAATGATGGGAACAGCCTGGGGACATACCTCAGTGGCACAAGTGCCTGTCTGGCAAGCATAAAGTCCTGAATTCAATTCCTGGTACAAAAAAAAAAAAAAAAAGAGAGAAATGGGAACATGGGCTGGGGATGTAGTCTAGTGGTAGGGTACTTTACTGGTAGGCTGGAGGACCAGGGTTCTCTTTGTCTTTTTCTGAGACAGAGTTTTGCTGTGTAGTTAGAGTAGGCCAGCTTTGGGCTTGTGTGTGATTCTTTGTCTTTGGCTCCTAGGTTCGGGAATTAAAAGATGTATACTATGATCTGGCTAGATAGAATTTTTTTTTTTTTTTTCAGTTCTGGAATTGAACCCAGGAGCTTGAGCATGCTGGGCTCTACCACTGATCCACTTTATGTAGCTCACATTTTCTGAGTTCTTATTTATTTATTTATTTATTTTTAAATATTTATTTATTTATGTGTGTGTGTGTGTGTGTGTGTGTGTGTCCAGCTCAGCCCACCAGGGGGCAGGGTCGGCTGGCATGTGGCGGCAGGGGTTGGAACCGCGGTCCCTGTGCTTTGCTAAGCTTGTTCTAAGTAGGTGCTTCAGACCACCGAGCCATCTCACCAGCCCCCTGAGTTCTTATT